CACACACACACACACCCCGTTTGGTTCGCGATACTTTCTGACGGCACACATATTTCTTCTGCTCTGGTCTGAAATAATTTTTTTCATGTCTTTTCATACCATTCATCCGTATATCCTCTGGTTTTCTCGTACTACATAAATCTTCTATTCTCACTTTCTCTGACTTCATTGCCATTCTTTCTGGTTAATAATCTACTATTTCCTCTCGCTTTCAATCTGCTTGTAAAAGTGTCTTCTAACTATCAATGTAGGAATTTCCCCTTCGTATAATGCCTTGGTGCTTTGTTCATTCATTGTTTCGCAAGTTCCTACTTTCCACTAGTTTTGTATTCCTAGCAAAGTTCCAAATCACATAATTTGCTCGTGGAAACGGGATGTGAATACTTAAAGAGGTTATTGTGCTTACGGACATTGGCCAAAAAGTGTGCAGTCATAGCGGTCGCCATTCTTTTGCTCCGGTTTACGAATAGACTGAAAATTATCTCACGTCATTTCCTCCCTCCTAAATATGCTCACTCTTTTAACTTAATGCTTCCGTTCTTTCGTTTTACAAACTTAATTCTGTTTCATTCCTTAATGTTTCTTTCCTTCGTTTGCGTTGGTCCAATTTAAATCACTGTAATTACCTTGGCCAACCTAATCTTAATTTTCAATCTCGTTATTAGTTTTCGTCTGGGCAGTATTATTCTCTGTCTGGTCCTATCTCTCCGAGTTCTGATTTATCCATGTCTCCTTCCTGCTTCCTCACAGTTGCATACAATGCTCGTTTCTACTGTGCTCGAAACGGACCGTTGCCCCGTTTTTTTTTTCTGTCCGCGTGCATTCCCACCCCCACCCGCTTGCTCTTTGTTTCTCGCCCGCGTCTTCATGACTGATCTTGGCGGGCTCGTGCTCTCTAATTGCGCCTCGGGTGTCTTCCTGCTCCCAGGGCACTTAGCCGCTCGCTGTGCTACAAAAAGCCGCTCGCGCGCGCGCGCGTGCACGGCACCTCGCGACGTCCGCCGCTGGCATGGGAACCAGGCGCCCCGCGGCCTTTTGGAGGGTGGGCGGGCGAGCGGGGGGGGGGCACTTTGGACCCTTGTGCACTGACATTGAGCCGGACCCACTGACGCACTTCGCCGCAGCAGTAAACCATCTGCGCTCAATGGGGTCCTTGCGAATGCCACGTAAGATGAGTGCGAATTGTTGGAGGGATGGAGAGGTAGACTGCCGCCTCCCCCTGATGGAAAAGTACTTTCTTCCTGTTAGCAGGTAATCCATATCTATCTTCGTTCGTTGACATTGAGCTGGCCCCAATGGTGCACTTCGGCACAGCAGCAAATCATCTGTGCTGAATGGGGCCGTTTCGATCTGACGGTCGAATACTCACGTAAGCGGAGTGCGAATTGATCTGGCTACGGAGAGGCGGAGAGTGTATTGTGTCTATTTCCGCCCCCCCCCCTCTGCTGGAAAATTACTTTCATCCTGTCAGGAGGTAAGCCATATCTAGGTGCCTCGTTTATGATTTTGATACCTATAAATGTTCGAATCAAGGAAAATAAATATTTCCTACGCACGTTCTTAGGATTTATTGAGGTTTCTGCGTAAACGGAGATGCTTTAGTTTCACTTGTCAATCCGTCGGTTCGTCTCTGTGTGGAAATTTGATCGTCGCCGTGGAGAAAATTGCCTGTTCACACTCTGGAATTTGCTCGCAAATGTCCTATCAAAGATAGATAACATTTTGAAGATATTGATATTACAGTTTATTAGAAAATCAAATTCGGTGTATGTAGTACAGACGCTGATATTCCCTTACATATATTTTCATTATTTTGAGAGATTCATTATTTGGATTTTTCATTATTATTAGGTTTGAATACAAAGACTCTTAACTGCAGGTTTATAAAGCCCTAAAGAATTAATATGCGTAACATTATCCTATCCCATAATGTTTAGTTTACTTGCGTTTTCAATGTCCTCAAACTTAAAAGGAAACTTAATATTTATTACATCATTAAATGTGTAGAACGCGAATAAAAAGGAATTAAAAACAGTGTTTCTCATCAATCAGTGTTAACGGAGATATATCACCCTCGCGAATTTTGGGGTGTAACATTTTAATTTTGTGACTTTTATTTATCAAAACATTTTTAATATTAAAATGTGTCTTAATGCCACATTTTCAGAAGCCACTTCTTCTATTTAGTGAAATCGTTTTACAAACATCATTTGCACAGCGAATTTATCATTTCATGCCAAGTAAGCCGTAAAACCTCGGGTCTTTGTGCTTGCATTGTTTTATTGAACGCTAATTTATAAAACTATTTGTTTAGAATTCCAAAATATATAGAATGTTTAAAATAAATACTGAAAGCAAATGTGATTTTTGTGGGATGGACGGACATCCTGAGCACCTCCCTTGCGGAGGCGTAAATTAACGGGCTAATGGCGGGTCGCTTCCACTTAGGCCCTGAGTCCTCCTTCATTGCCTTCGCCGACAGCCCCTCGCTTCCTCGATGAGCGTTGAGGGGTCCGTAATCAAGTTCTCTCTTTGACGTAAGTGCATTATTTCTTAGACGGAGGACCTCACCTTTCTGGAATTCTTCCTTTCTCTTCCGATTTCCTACATTTTCGAAACGTTGACAGGAAGAAAAAAGGTAATACTGGAAGGCAAGGTAGAAAATATGATTTACTAGAAACAGTTATTGTTATGAATGAATGTGGGTTAAAATGCTCCATAATAAATGAATAATAAAAAATATAAATAAATAAGAAATAGTGAAAATAAATAATAAAATATTTTTAAAAAAATCAAATCAGATGGCAGAGATCGCTGGAAGTGCCGTAGTGGTCTCGGATCAAAAGACCGGGGGTTTGAGTCCCGCTAGGAATCGGATCTAGCTAAATGCTGATCTCATGATAACACACGCATATCACATACACTTGCCACCGAGATATTACTGAGCCCCGGTAAAAGCAGAGTCCATGCGCGCGTGGTCCAAGTTGGCTGATTCGCGAGTAAAAATAAAATAATAAAAAATAATGAAAACAAAATTATAACGAATTAAATAGCCATTTAAATCTTTGGGAAAATCAAACATTATGCCTAATTTGAAATGTTAACATTCAGGAAATGACGTCAGGCCCTTAACTGCGGTCTATTTTTTGTGGCAAGGAGTAATTCTACAAAAATAGCTCTCAGATTTATTCGCGACTGGGAGTCTGAGCTTTATTAGTGGTTTCCGACACGTAATTATGCAAAGACAAGCGACCGCCGAGGGAGCGGCTTTGAGCCTCTGAACGAATGCTCTGGGCATAAATCTTAGTTTTTCATCTTGTCCCATGGTGAAAAGGTGCTCTTGTCCACCTCTTGGTCGGCGAGACTGGTCGGATTCCGAACAAACGTGTACAGACAAAATGAATGGAAAGGCGTTATAATTAATCGTAAATCCGAGCAGTACCGGTATTTTTTCTGGAATATTTGCAATAAATAGAAAAGTTTCATCAAAATATTCAAAATCATATCTGGTAAATCCACTCGCGACTGTATATTGGCATTCATTTGGGATATTGCGGTTTAAATACAAATTAATTAATTAGTTCATTAGAGAAATATAATTTCTTTCTTCTTCCAACTCAGGTGAGGCGTTCACTATTTTTGTCTGTAAAATTTAAAAAATCCCACAACATTTTTTATGGGCAATGAATGGTTTTTGTGTGGAAAGAAACGGA